ACAGGATTGTCATAGTCATTCCTTGGTTCTGTCTCTAATGAGTCATCGAATTTGAGACCCTGATCAAAATATTATGTTCAATCCTGAAATTTTCCAGTTTTTTTTCAGTTTTCATTATGCCTTCATTAAGCGGTCAAGATAAGTTTACAAGCTAGACTTATACGAAATGACATACATTGTAAATTAACGCTTCAATGCACGATGTAGTGGGGATTTATAGACCGGTCAGAAATAATGTTTCTTTCATTTTTTCGCATTATGTGAAGAAGAATAAGAATCCGTCTTGGCTTTAGTCACGAACAAGCGATGAGTCAGTTATTCTTTTCTTTCATTCTCTTGCGAGGGGTTATACGATATACTTTTTTACTTTTCGTGGGAGCTACCACACATTTGGCCAAGAAACATAGAGAACATGTGAGAGAATAGACGTTTTACTTGATGGATGACTATATATACAGCTCATCCTATTTTAATTAGTTTGCGTCGAATTTTCTGTTGGAATTAAGTTGCTTAACTTCATTTTGATCATTTCAGATATAATTAGCTAACAATTATCCCTTTTTGAGATAATTTTGATAAGTTGATGCATATCTGTAAAGGAAGTTGATAGAACTACTTAACACCGATGGATTTTTGAAAATTTTTTATATCTCCAACTGTCCAAATGTCTTTTCATTAACACACTTGATTACAGGTAATTTTTGATACTGAACACAAACTTGATGTCTGATGCTTGATTAAGTGGACAGAAGTTTAATACTTGGTGATTCATCATGAACTTTCAGTTAAACAAAACTTTGATATAATCAGTTTGTAGAGATTTGCTAGATATCTATATAAGAAAGTTTTCAGAGTAGATGGATAAGTTTTTGTTAAGTTACAAAATTTACTTCCCGATTTTTCTGTTGTATTTAGCTTGTATAGTTTTTCTACGTAAACGTTTTGCCAGATATTGTACTTCATTATCTATTATTACACATAGAGCGAAAATAAATTCATTCTTAATTGAGATGAGAGAAAGATGTTTCTTTCGAATAAATTTTGATTTGTAAGTGAGCAGTGTTGATAAAGCATAAAGTATGTCTGTATGCGTGTGTAACTTTTGTAATAACCATCTGGTCCAGATAACTGAAACAACATGCAATAGAAAAAGCTACAGCATAATGGATTGACATTAATATAACTTATCAAAAGAATTATATGGTTTTATATTAATGGTGATAGTATAAATAGTTGCAACTATCGAAGCCGAAACAAAAGTCAATCCATTAGTCTATTCAATGTCACTCAACAAATAACTAACTTTTCAAGGTTTATATCTCTACACATATGTTTTTTATCAGTAGGCAAAATAACTTGACTATATACTGTATCTTGTACGTATGTACTATAATAGTTCACATCAGATATCTCTTTTAAAGGGAATTTTCATTTTCATTCTTCAACAATTTTTAGTATTTGTTCCTCACTATAGGATAGATATCGAACAGGTCAATACGACAAAAATAAAGGCCATTGAAGGACAAACTTCCCTATATTTAAAAGCACATAGTTAAACTCGATGTTTACTTTTGAGAGATTATTTTTAAACTAGAAACGAACTAACAAAATTCTCCCTTGAATAGAAGAAAAGAAAAAAATTAAATAATAGAACAGGATTGTGTATGGGTTGATTTCGTTCAAAGAACAAAAATAATTGTTTTATATAGAATTAAAAAGTTAGCTACTTAGAAAAGAATTTTCTTTATATGAGGTAAAAAGGCTATAAATAATCTGTATGTTACTTGATTAGTTTAGAACGTTTTGTTTCTTCTCTAAATTTCACATTTATCTAATTTCAAGTGTTAATGTTGCCAATGTGCATGTATAATTTTATTTCTATGTCATATAAGGGTACTCTCCGCCAGTGAAATCACCCCAAAACATCTAGTTGAGATAAAGACATTTGAGTTGGTGCATGCGTCTGCTTTCAGAATGCAGAATATATGTCTCTTTATATGAGATTCTTAGATGCTTTTCAACAAAAAGTAAAGATTTCCAAACCTGTTCAAAACAAACGGTTTGCCAGAAGACTTTACAGTTTCACTAAATTGAATATATTTTTTTCACAAACTATAGCTCCATGTAGAGAAAAATTTCACTTCCAAAATGCGACTTTGTACAAATCAGTATGACATTTCATGATGAGGTTAGGACTAATTTATTGTACCTCTTTAAAACCACTTAACTAGTTAAATTGGGTATATCTTTTCTAATTAGCAATACAAAGTATTTCAAAGGTTTCTTTCCTATATACTGTATCATAAAACGAGGATAACACTAAAGTATGAAGACATTCACAGACAATCAACAACACCTACACCATTACTCACGTAGAAGTAAATTTTTGCTTGTCGATGAATGTCTTCATATTTTAATATTAAAAAAACTCCATTAAATGTAGGAGGTAGATATTTTCATGAGGATTAAGATTTTCTAAAACTTCAAGATCTTTTACAACCTCTCAGATAATTTTCATAGTTATTAACTTTCAAACGTAATATAAAGTTCAAAAGGTAAAATGTAAAAATTCAGTACGTACATGCGATTAGATTAAGTATTTACGTTGATTTAAAACAATTGCAGTATTTCTAACTCGTAATCTGGAATTTTTTTTTTGTATTACCAGAAGAATATATTTAGCCTCTTGTTATCGGAAATTTCCAAAAGAAAATTACAGATATAGAGACGCCAATTATTTTTTCGAGTATGATTCGATATCATATTTGTTTCCTGAAATTTTCGTGAAAATCGGATGTAAAATAAAAATTTATTGCACTGTAGAGGACCCTCGTAAACAATATGCTGTTATATATGCCCTCTAAGTCCTTATCAGCTGCTCGATTTTTGATACACGATGATGAATACAGAACGAAATAATAAACCTTGTTTTGTTTTGTTTTGATTCGCTTCACTGAAAACATTGAACGAGTTAACGTAACAATACTAAAAACAAAACGGCTTAACAAAAGACTCTGAAGGATGTATGAGTAATATTTGTAACCACTAAATACTTTATAGTTGTTATCTGTCCTATGTTAGAGCAAGCTTTATCCAAACACAAAGTTTTATCAGTAAAAGTTTCACGTTTTGGAAATCTGAAGGGTGGAGAAAGAGAGAAGGAAAACTAAAATTCTTTTAAGCTATCGAAAAGAGCACAACTCTGACTGATCTAGATTTGAAAAGTAGTTGATTATCCTTGAGGGAGAGAGCATCGGGTTCTCAGCACCCAAATAGAGACTATTTTTCCCGTTGTGATTCATTCTTGAGTCAGCACGAATTTATGCGTTATGCATTTGAGACACAGACTGACGTCATTTCCATAATATTTCGTTTCATAAAAAATGGTTATGTTGAAAATCTAGTCTTTTCCCAAAAAACTTCAAAAAAAAATATTTGCATCAGACAGAGAAAAAATTTGTTTCAATTTATCCGAATGTGTTTGATTAAGTTTCATGAAAGAATTTATGAAATTTTAACCTGATGACCTTGATTTTAATTTTTTGACAATAAGAGAGGCCGTGAGCTTATTATTTCATGTTCTTATCTTATCTATTTTTTATTACTCTCTTAACTTTACTGGACAATACTTACATGTAGTAAATCTCTTATTTTCTTTTTCTCTTTCACTCTTTCTGTCTAAGTGAACCGTAAAATTGGACAGCGATCGATCGTTTTCTTCTCTTTTGTGTATAACAGAAAGAATAAATTATTACTTCGTGTTCGGGAAATCATGAGTAAAAGAGGAAACTATTCTACCTTCTTTAATCCGTTAAAACTAATCCATTGTCTAACTAGTGTGTATAGTCTTTTTTTTTTTCGTTAGTTTTATAAAGGAAGACAAAACTAGTACCTCATTGTTGCTCATTGGAGCTAATATTTTTGAATTAAATCTAACTTGTATTATAATAAAAACGATAAACAATAAAAATACATAAAAGAAAGTAGAAGAAGCAAAAAAGGTGTGTTGTTATGTACATATATCGATGAAAATGCATTTAGTAATATTGTATAGGAGAGAGAATGTGAGCCTGTCCTAATTGTCTCGTCAATAGAAATAGAGAAAGTGTATATGTGTTTTTTTCTTTTCATTTTCAAGGTAGAACAATCTCTTTGCGGTGTGATGGTCGTTTATCTATCTGTTTTATTATAAGTTGTGGACAGATAGAGAAAAATAAAAACTTATATTTCCTTTAAGTTAGTTAATTCAATGCTGGAAAGAATTATATGGTTGATAATCACATTTAAAGTGGTAAGAAAACTATATTTGTTTTATTAACAGATCCTAACATTTTTCTTAAATTTTTTGTCTATTAAAGACTCTTTACGTACTTTATCTAGTTTTATTTCTAGTGTGTTTTGGTTAATTTTTTTTTTTTTTTGTTGCTTTATCTAAAGGGTCTGACGCAAATTATGCATGATAAAAATCGAAGTATACCTTGTATTCAGTAAACAAACATAGTCACATTGTGATACTAAGATGACTAGAAAAGAAAAGTTCGTCCTAACAAATCGTAGGAATGACACACATGCAACATTTGCTGTGCTCGTGTTTTCAAGTATATAAACAACATCAACTAACTTTTTCTTTTTGTTCGAATGTTTGCACGAGAATTGTCAACATATACAAACAACACGAAAAAATCGTTACCTGAGACTACGAAAAAATTAATAAGACGATGTAAGCCACATTATTCTTTGTTGTAGAAATGAACGGTACAAAACCTATTGAGTCATACAATCCGTTGTTGTTTCTATTAATAACAGAATAGATTTTTTCATTTCACGGAGAAGGAACAATTTTCGACAAAATATCTTGTGTTTTTCCAGTTCTATGTAACTAATTGATATTTATTTCTTATTTTACAGATTAAATCTCATCAATAAACCGGTGGAAAAAAACTAAGAGAAAAACCATATATTATCATTCGAATGTTATTGAATTAAAATCAACGATCATCATGTCTCATAGAAGTCAAATTGTACCAGCATTAGCGTCGGCTGTTCATTCCAGTACAGCTTTTCTTGAAGAAATTCCAATTACTCATACCAATTCTTCACCAAAACTCAACGAAAAATATCTTCACGATGGACGTACTCGATTAAGATCAACATCATCATCCTCATCAAATCGGGTAGTAGAACAAGATCACAGTAGTCATCCAGCGTATTTGAATATACCATCAACAGTAAGTTCATCATCATCAAATACGATCACAAATTTTTTTATATCAACACCATTAGATGCTCGACGAGCATTTACCTATTTTGATAAAAATCGGGATGGAAAATTGACTGTTAAAGAATTTAAAACTGTTATGCGTACATTGGGTTATAAAAATTCTAACAAACGATTTATTCAGAGAATGTTTGCAGAAGCTGATCGAAATAAAAATGGCGTATTAGAACTCGATGAATTTGTAGAATTTTTAGAAGGTAAATTTTCAATGTCATCAGACTCATCAAATAATAATAGTAGAATAAATGATCATAATGGTGATTCTTTACGTGCTCAACTTGATATTGAAAGTTTATTTAATTGTTATGATTTGGATAAAAATGGTGTTATTACGGCAAAAGAATTACGAAAAGTAATGGAAAGAATTTTAGGTGAAAAATTAACAAAAGACGATATTGCTGAAATGATGAAAGCAGCAGATTTGAATAATGATGGTCTTATTGATAAACATGAACTTGAGCAATTGTGTAGTGCTTTTTGAGCAGATAAAAGACTATATATAAGATTATGTGATATTTTTTATAGAACAAACTATATTATGTGTATTTGAAAAGAGAAAAGGTCGATCTGTATTAAGAGAATGTTTTATGCTCATACTGCTCGTGTGTCTATCTGTTCACCTTGGAAAAAAACTATATTTGTATGTGTCTTCCTGTTTTCATGCAATAATAACATTTTTTTGTTTTATTTTCGTGTTAATATGGGATTCTACTAGCCTATGATGCTTTTTTTCATTTTAGCCATATTCTTATTAATTTTATGTCTTTAATAAGGAAACGACATCTCTCACTTAGATTTTTATTTAATTGTATTTTGTTTTCTATACGCAAACAGGTATCCTTTTTTTCTGATCATTTCACTTCGTCTAACTGGATGATAATAATATAACTTATTTATTATATTACACGGAGGATGGTTTAAGCTTTAATCTTAAACTAAAACGGAGGATTATTTTTGTGTTCGGATTTAATCCACCAGTTTTATTTCTTCTTTTAAATATAGGATAAATTGTGTTTTTCTGACACATTTTGTCTCGCACTTCTCTTTTTATCTTCTCTATATGTATATTTAACTGTTTTGTTTGTATAAAATTTTTTTTTCTTTTTCTTTATGTGTCACTAAAAGTAAATTTTTCAAATCGCATTTTTTTAAAAATATAAATCGGCGATTACCAACATAAATTTTTATGAAAAACAACGATTGACACAAAGTCATTCTTACGCATTTTACCATCAAATGAATATTTTCTTTATACCGTTACAAGACGTGACTGAAGTTCTATTGTATTAATCTGTAACGCGTTGAAACATATTTTAACTCATTGTAAGATTTTAGAAGTTTCTTACACGTTTCAAGACGACATAAATGCGCAGCATTGCAATGCTATAATAGTTTGTGATGCATCGTAAGACACGTTTTGACAGCATGTATTTACTGCATTACAAACTGTTATAGCATTGCTATGCTGTGCATTTATGTCGTTTTGAAACACATTGTGACAGCTTATAACGCTATAATTTCAGTTTTTTAGCATTTTATCCGTGTAATGAGTTACACTATTGCGTTAAAACACATTTTCTTCAAAATTTTATCGCGTTGTAACGCAAAAAAGACTTAACATCTCGCAATGCATTATGGTATGCCAAACGCATCATATACAAGTAAATACAGCAAAAAGATTAAACAGATTATCAAATTAATCAATATAATCCGTGCATCTTCGAAGCACTGACAGCTGAGGTCATCTGCAATATGTTTCAGTTTTTTTTATTGTTATTGATTGAACTTTTTTAAACTTTTATTAACATCTATAATACGTTGTCGAAATAATTTTGCTAAATTGTGTGTATATATCATATAGACGATGAACATAAAACTAAAAACAAAATCAAACAAATAGAATACAGTAAACTGAACTCATTGGACGATGGATATGCAATCGAATGATTGTGGTACCAGAAATTAATCAATCATACATACAACAAATCAATCATACATACAACATAATACTTTGACTTGGTTTCCCGATAGCCGTCAAAAATAGACGTCAATTGATGACTACCGGGAAACAAGCAAAAAACTTTGTAGCAATAAGTAAATAAATTACCTACTAATACCATCCAGAGCCCGAAACGAATCAGGAAAACTTGATTCGATTCGATTCGGGATAATATTTCTGAAATCAAATTCGGTTCGTTTCGAGCTCTGATACCATATACCTTCAATGTTATGGGAAGCAGCGTTTCTAATCAGAATTACAGTCAGCATGTACTGGTACACTATGTTTCGGAGCCGAAAGTGCTCACACAAAGTGTACCAAAATTAAAAAGTCTCATAACCCGAAAATACAAAAGGTTGTGTTTCATCTTTCTCTTTAACGATAAAAAACACACAGCAAGTACAATAGTTTTTTTGTACTATTCACAAAAAGGTGCTCTTCCCGTTTCTAACTATCGTCTTATCTCTCTCGTCTGCCTATTGTTTCCAAAGTTTTTGAGCGTTTGATTTATGACTTTCTTTTTCTCCTATTTCTAAATATTCCTTTTTTGTAAATAAACAATTCGGTTTTCGGTCTAAACATTCTTCTCTTGACGCTTCGTTATTTTTATCTTTAACTGTCTCTATAACTGAAATAACATTTGCCAAATCTCTCCAAGATTTCAAGCAACAGTGCTGTTTCTCCTTTAGTGATACAATGAATATATTTTCATTTTCTTAATTTCTGAGTAGGATAAATATGAGACTAGACTGAGGTATTATTCTTGTCTTTTTCTATTCGTGGTTGCAATCTGCAAAGAGACAAAGTGTAAACCAAAAAGTCAGAGTGTGCAGTGTACACTTTGTTTTTTTTACACAGTGTATAATAGTGTGTTCTGTGTACTTAACTTTATTAGATTACTGCAAACTCTGTTTTGATAGATACACTCTCTTATTAGAAACCCTGAAACTAGAGCCGTGCAGGTTAAACCTAACCTATATGTTAGGTTAGGTTTAGGTTATGAAATTTTTTATAGGTTAGGTTGTAGGTTATGCCGTTGATAACCTATTTTTGACCTGCACGAAAAAAAACGATTTTGAACGACCACATTAAAACAGCCAGCACTTTGAGTAATAAATAAGGATGTATCGATTAATAATCGATGTTGAGGCATTCAGGAAAACCGCTCTGACTTAGTTATAGTAAATCTCTCAGAACTGCGGAACATCTCATTTTGTAGAGAAAGGTTGGTTCTACAAAAGTAAAGTGTTAAAAAAGTTTTCATGTTATTTGTGACAAAAATTGAAATATTCAAAAATGTGCACAATCGAAAAAAACGAATCGAAGATCGATTATTTTGCGACTTTTGTGCGTTTTTGATTAATCGTATTTTTTCTATATATAACATGAAAACTTTTTTAACACTTTACTTTTGTAGAACCAACCTTTCTCTACAAAATGAGATATTCCGCAGTTCTGAGAGATTTACTATAACCAAGTCAGAGCGGTTTTCCTGACGGAAACTTCCGTTTGCTAAAAATAGATGGCAAATACACAACAATAACAGAACCGTAGCATCGAGAGCCTAAAGTGGAATTCTGATCTACTATTGAGAGGGCCTCCCTGTTCAGAAAGCTATTGTCCAAAGATTGCATTAAAGAATAAAGGACTCAACCGATCCATTTCTATATTCATGTAAAATGTGATTTATTTTGTATAAGCTTACCTTTCAGAGGGTGTTTAGATAAAAAAATAATAACGATATGGAAGAAAGCTGAAGTTTAGGCTTCTGAAACCAGATTTTGGGACGAAATTGCAAAAGGTTGTATTAGGTTAACCTAGGTTAGGTTACAAAAACATTAATAGGTTAGGTTAGGTTACGAGTTTCTTAGGCTAGGTTAGGTTTAGGTTGTGAAAATTTTTATAGCCAAGAGCGGCTGCGGATTCTTAAAATATGCAAAATGATGAAAATACATAAGATCATTCTAACTCAGTTACAGAATTTTTCGTAAAATAAACTCACATTTTAATCATAATCCAACAACGATTAATGAAAAGACAACTTTGAGCAAGAACTACGGTAAAAATAAAATTTAAACGTCTTGAAAAGCTCCGTCTGACGGTGACATCTGAAGGAAGGTCAGTTAATTTTATTCAATTAGTATTGTCGACCGATATTGTATTTCCAGAGTTACCGCTGTCAAAAGACTTGTTAGATCGCCTATTAATTCATCAAAAAATGCTATTTGTCTGTTGATAAGTGATTTTTGATAAGAAACGAAAACGCGCTTGTTTGTGAAAAAAAATTAGTATCTGGTTAGATCCTAATAGTTTAACCTCCGGTAAAAAACGTTCATCAGACTACAAAAATGAAAGCCGTTGAATGAATCTGCCGTTGTTCTATAAGGGTGTTATTACTCCACTTTCTACATAAAAGAATTAATTTAATTTTTAAAATTAGGAAAATACTTCTACTATGGATGTGTAAACGTCTTTTACGATTTCAATCGATTCTAAAATTAATTGTGTTTGAACTTAGTTTGAAAAATTCGTCAAGATTCACACAATAAACGATATAACTCTTTCTAATAACTAATCATTATTACTTTCGCCTCCATCTCTAACTCAATGTTCATACTTTTGTATTTCGCTTAGAGATGATACAATTACATAATAAAAAACTTTATCGGGATTGTTCATTGTGTATGCTAGAATTATATAACTAAGTCATTTTTCAATCTCCATCCAGCATAATTCGAGAGGTTAATCTATCTTTATTGTTTCATCGATTGAAATTTCACAATTAGAAAAGAGTTAGTTGATTATTTTGTTTAATTTGCCAATCAACTATTAAATATCTATTAATCGTGTTATCAGCAACATCCACAACGGCAATGGTCGCAGAGATTCATTGGACCGATCATTAGTCAATGTTTATCATTAAATCATATAACGTATGCATTAAACAGTGTAACAGATTGATCTGAAAGAAATCAGAACTCAATCATTGTATTCAATGAGACAAATAAATTTATAAAAATAAATCGATCCTGACCATAAACTTATGGTTGTTGTTTTTTTAAAAGATAAGAACTTACGAGAATTTATTGATATTAGAAATGTTTTTTTTATTGATATTAACCATTTTATAGTTACGCGAAATGTATTGATGAAAAAGTTAAAACGAGGAGAGATATCAACGAGTGCCATGAATGTGGTGGATTAGAAGAACTTTATTTGATGCTCAGATAATTGATTGGTAATAGATAGACGAAGAGGTTCAATGAAGATATAATTAGTGAAATTTATGATTACTATATAAATGGGATTCTTACTATATTTTTTTTTGGTAAATTCAAACTGCATTTTTGACTACGTTCTGATCAGTGTATGCACATCAGCTTAACGTTGACTTTCGATTGTGAACCTTGCCATAGTTTTATGTGTTGAGTATGAAATACCTTTTACCTGATGTTACTCCATAGCTGCTTTTAATCGCAAGAGATTGATTGCTTACTCTGCAAACACTGCATGAGAGAAAATACAAATAAACGTGTTAATATTAAGAAATTTTTTGCGTTGTTTTAGATACAAGAAAATGAATTTGGCTCGAAATTTTCTACGTAATACTGTTCATTCATCACAACTTATTCGATCGTTTTCATCATCATCATCCAATGCATTAAAAGTAAAAAATGAAGTCAAACGCAAACGTGAACTGGCTCTAGTGGGTGGAGGAACTAAACGTATTGAGAAACAACATCAGAAAGGTAATTTTTATTTAAATGTACCATTAACGAGAAACCAAGTGTCACGCCCATTTTTCACTTTCAAATCCATCGCTCTGTAAAGCTCGCTGAGTTGAGTATTGTCATACAGCCAGAGTTGCGGAGTTAACAAACGTCAATATAGAATAAAAGATAGAACAATTTACACAGAGATTGTGTGATGTAAAACAACAATGTTTGGTGCAATAAGAGAGAAACAGAAAAACAACAACGAAAAAAATCTGAAGATGATTATGTAACCAATGTAAATCCCTGTCAATAATTATATCGAGCCGTATTACATTGTTTCCTTTACATGTAGAGTGTTGACCATATAAGACTTAAAATGCTTCTACACCCTCTCGTTCATTAAGAATATATTAGTGCCATCTTACACAGCTCAAGGAGCATTACAAAGCGGTTTACTTGAAATTGAAAATCCTGCATGACACTTGGTGACCTTCCTTCATGAGACAACATCCATCTGGTGTCTTCTCCAGTTCATTAAATCGATTGACAAAGTATAGACTGAAAAAATCTTTCGTTCTATCTTTTGTAGGAAAATTAACAGCCCGTGAACGTCTTGAAGTATTACTTGATCCAAAATCGTTTGTAGAATATGATATGTTTGTCGAACATCGATGCAATGATTTTGGTATGGATAAAGAAAAATATTATGGCGACTCTGTTATAACGGGTCATGGACTTATCAATGGTCGTCCTGTTTATGTATTTAGTCAAGACTTTACTGTTTTCGGTGGGAGTTTATCAAGTGTACACGCACAAAAGATTTGTAAAATAATGGATCAAGCGATGTTAGTTGGAGCACCTGTCATTGGTCTTAATGATAGTGGAGGCGCGCGAATACAAGAAGGTGTTGAATCATTAGCTGGTTATGCTGATATATTTCAACGGAATGTATTGGCTAGTGGTGTTATACCTCAATTATCATTGATTATGGTCTGATAGCGTCTATCTTCATGTCCGTCAGTGGTATTATCTATGGATAATTGTTTAGGGACCATGTGCGGGTGGAGCCGTTTATTCGCCAGCATTGACTGATTTTATTTTTATGGTACGTCAGACAAGTTATTTATTCATAACTGGGCCCGATGTTGTTCAATCTGTCACAAATGAAAATGTTACACAAGAAGAACTGGGTGGAGCTAATTCACATATGACCAAATCGGGCGTTGCTCATTTTGCTTACGATAATGATATTGATACATTGTTGAGAACAAGAGAATTATTTAATTTTTTACCATTATCAAATAAAGATCCAACACCAATTCGAGAATGTGACGATAGTCCAAATCGGTTAGTAGATTCTCTCAATACCGTTATACCTTTAGAGTCAACAGCTGCCTACGATATGAAAGAAGTTGTAAGTCAGGATACGATAGAATATATTTGATATTAGGTAACTGGATTAATTGGATTTAGATTTATGCAACCGTTGATGAACATGATTTTTTTGAAGTAATGCCAGAATGGGCGAAAAATATCATCGTTGGTAAGTATATTTTTTCTCTTAAACACGAGATGATTATTAAATTTGTTTCATTTTTATTGGTTTTGCACGTATGGGTGGTCGAACAGTGGGCATTGTGGCAAATCAACCTAAATCAATGGCTGGATGTTTAGATATAAATGCATCAGTTAAAGCAGCACGTTTTGTTCGATTCTGTGACGCGTTTAATATTCCATTATTGACGTTTGTTGATGTACCAGGTTTTTTACCCGGTACTTCTCAAGAACATAATGGGATCATAAGACATGGTAAGTAAAATTTTGTCGCAATGAATAGTCAAACACTGTTGCACGCATATTTTTAATATACTTAGGGGCAAAATTGTTGTATGCATTTGCTGAAGCCACTGTACCAAAAATAACAATAATAACACGAAAAGCCTATGGTGGCGCATATGATGTAATGAGTTCTAAACACTTACGAGGCGACATGAATTACGCATGGCCAACAGCTGAAGTATTTCCTTTCTTTGTATCTTAGTGCGACTCAGATGATCACGTTTATTTATTTTTTAGGTTGCAGTCATGGGTGCTCAAGGTGCTGTGAAGATTATATTTCGAGAGGGGAAAAATGTGAAAGATAAAGAGCTTGAATATATCGATAAATTTGCCAATCCATTTCCGGCTGCTATTCGTGGTTTTGTTGATGATATCATCGAACCAAATCAAACCCGTAAAAGAATCTGTCGTGATTTAAATCTATTAGCTGGGAAACAGTTAGATAATCCACGAAAGAAGCATGCAAATATGCCATTATGAGAATAAGAAACAAGATTTGTTACTTAATCATTTCATTCTGTTTTATTTCATTTGAAAGAGTCGTATCGTTTCTATCACAAAAACTAAGTAAAGAGTGCTTTAACAGTGAGTGTTATGTTATAAAACGAATGTTGATCCATTTACTTTTCATACTCAATATATTTTCCATTGTAATTAAACAGTTGTTATTTGTTTTCTAAAACTTATCCATTTTTTTGTTTCAGTACAAAGTACACAGTGAGCACAGGTTTCCTCGCATTAGAAATCAGTTTATTTAATTGTTTAGTCTCAACAAATATGTCTGTCACATTCTTCTCACACTACTCACAAACAACATTAGCGATATTCAATAAGAAAAAATATTCCATATAAAGAACTAAACGATATCTTGGAGTAGATGCAAATGCCAAAGCTCAAAATAAGTTATAAGAAGGCGGTATGCATTTAAGGGACATGCATATATCCAGAAGATCAGTGCACGTAGTGGACTCAATATGCCAAACATCTCTTTTTCTAGATCTTCTGTAATCAATGTAACGTTTATATATTATGTTCTTTTACAGTACATAAATTTTTTCTCTCTTTGTTCTCTTGATCTCATCTTTTTTTATCTTTTTTATTAACGTTAGTGCACAACTTTTTCCAGAAAATGAGTATGTACAGATCTGTGATAATAAAGTCAAACAAGAAATCCAAGTATTTTCACGGCGTACAGTGATAGAAAATACATCATATTATACCTCTTAATTTTTTTTATCTTGGGACCGCAATTATCATGAACGATATCTATTTCGGCCTGTATAGAAGGTGTGTCAGTGATTGTCATAAAAATCGTCTAAAACACAACAAAACAATACTGCATAAAATTCAAATATCACGACAATATTTGCACCGTTAAGACGTTAGTTGTATTATTCTCATGTACGGATGAAAAAGGCAGTCATTGCAAATTTTGTATGTAACTCGATTGTTGATGCAATCAAAGATTGATTGTTAGTTTGAAAACATATTTTTGATGCGATAAACATAAAAGATTCCCATTAACGAGAAAGCAAAACGACGCTTACTCATTTCAATTCACTTTCTGTTGTAATAAATATGAACTTTTTGAGAATTTTGCTGACGATGTTAAATTGAACAAACTCCAAATAAACCGTTTTGCAAAATGAGAATTAAAAGAAAACAGGTTAGTTGAATTTTCTTTTCCGGAATCAGCATCATTTGTTTCCAACATAAATAAATAAAAAACTGCACAATTCAAACTTTGAGTAGATTAACTAATGTAAACAGCTCTTCTATCTGAATATACTGCACGGATTTATTAAGAAATTTAAAATTCATGTTATAAAATACATCCAAAAAAACAAGTAGTGGCGCAAAAATGCACATTTGATTTGTGAAAAAACTGCACATTCGAAAAAAAGATTGAAAGCGCGATTATAATTAATGAGTTGCATCATTTTTGGCACTTGCAGCTCGAAGTTGATCTAATCGAATAACAGAATTATACATTGGGATTTGACGTTTTAAAATATCTTGTATTGGTCCCAAAACACGTTCAAATCGTGCTCGATCTAGTTTAACACATTTCAAAAGTCCTTTCGCTACCACAGTTGCCACACGTGGTCTATTACATAGAAGTGCGATTTCTCCTAATGAAAAAGATAAAAAAATTAAGAGAACACCATAGGAAAGTAATCATACCAAAATAATTCGATTGTCCTAGAGTATCTACTTCAACTGGGTCAGGAGATTCCGATGTTTTTTGATATACAATAGCATTACCCTAGAAAAAAAATATATTTGTTGACAAATAAAAGCAGATGAGGAGATAACAATATTACCTCAACAATGATGAAGAATTCTTCACCAATATCACCTTGTCTAACTACCTCAACACCATCTTCGAACTGAACTGGTTCCAATGCATCTGCTACTGTCAAACGTTCCCAATCATCTAATGATTCTAAAAAAAATGGATAAATTAGCTATAAACTTTTATAATATGGGTTCAACTTATTACCTAATCAGATCATCCTACCAAAACATAGTAGTGCTATAGCTAGGATTTCATTAGCAAAGAGGCAGAAACAAGATTTCTGTTGAGGAAAGTTTCCGCATAAGAAAGAAACTAGACCATGATTAATTTTGCAAGACTTATGTAAAATATTATGTACGCATTAAAACAGACATTCAACTTCGCTTACCTAAAATTGATACTTTGCTTAAAAATTCTTTGTACATTTTTCTTTTTCGCATTGTACTATCCATTAATATCCGACGATATGTATCACCATGTAACGACCACAATTTCACGTCTGTTTTAGCATTGACTGTTGCAGCACGAGGTGTTCCATAGATCAAAGCTAATTCACCAAAACTTCCCGCTTCTGATATTGTTGTTACTAAATCGTTATTAATAAATACCTTCATTAATTAGCAAAAGAGAAACGATCAGATTTTCAAGAATAAAGAATTTTATCCAGAGAGGAAGATCTTTAAATTGGTTTCAAAATATTTTTACTCACATCGACTTCTCCTTGATCAATAATATAGAAATTGTCGCCTTTTTCACCTAATCGAAGACAACAAATAAAATCTGGCTCAGAAACATTTAAAAACAATTATACCTTGTGTAATTATTGTTTCGCCAGTACAATGGACTTCGGGATACATTGCGTCGAAAATATCGGCTTTTTCGTTTTCATCCAAATGACTGCAAGTGCAAACCTGTGTTTGTTTTAGAATGTTGTGTTTTCAGTAAAACATTTACTAAATCCATACTAAAATACCTGAATAAAATATTTTTTTTAATTGCAGCCGTCAATGCTTGCATGGTGGCATAATCTTTTTGTACAATCTCTTTTTTGTATGGTGTTATACATTCTTCTTGAAATGATTTTGATGATACAGCTCCACGACGACGTTTAATACTTGGTATCTCTTTTGTAGTCGATATTATTGTTGACGAAACATCTTCAATTGTCGGTTGAGTTGTCATTTTATTCTGGCGTTCAGATGAAATAACGTTAGCTGGAAGTGACTTTAAACATAATAAAAGCATAGCATGACAATTTCAGTTCTAATCTATTTTCACTTTTCTTTCTCTTTTCTTTTTTCATTTTATTATTTAGTTTTATCAATCACTACACGCACACACAATTCATTAGCATCATGAAAATCTAGTCTAATAAGAAACATACACATCTTCTCATTACTATTCATTAGAAAAAAATCCTTAAACGTCGGATAATAATAAGACAGAAAAAACGTATCATATATCCTTATTTAGAAGAGAAGAAAGATTATAGAGAACATGATAAATTTTTATCAAACATACGAATTCATCATCTTATTTTCTGTTGATACTCATTGCAGCATATATATCTGAAGAAAACTGCAGTGATCGTTTAAAAAAAGTAGATACTGAACTCATATTCGAGTAACGAAATAAAAGAATGGTTATCGAAACGTCGAATTTACTGAAGTTACCTTGTTCTGCATGATACTTTAGATTTTTTCAAGAAAATGAAGTTAATCTAACACTTTCTTCATATATATCAGTAGCAATTAAAAGTGAAACACTACCGTTGTTCTGACATATTATATTTTACAGTTGACATTATTTTTTTTTAATATTATTTTTATAAATGCATCATAAATTGATTTCCTCTCTTTTCAAAATTCTTAGGGAAAAATTATATACACTAATACAAAAACAGAGGACTAAGTAATTTTACAATATAAATAAGAATTGGTAAAAGACAAAACTGCCTGTGAACATCTATCTATTAACATCGATGTACATTACTTACACATATATTGTTATTGATACCATTAAAATAATTTCTTAAAAATTTGATTGGCTCTTCCGGTTGGTGTAAACAAAGTTTATGAACACATTCTTTAATAACCGACTGAATATTATGTTGATTTAAATATAATTCACATTGTTTAAGTAAAAATTCCAGATCGGTTGAATGTGACGAAGTCATTGTAGATGTTAGAACGGAACAAATTTACACTAACATTGAACGTTGAATTTTCATCTTGTCAAAACTTGTGATCTGAATAGAGCTATTCAAATGAAGAAAAGATCTGTAAAATTTCAGACAATGAACATTCTAAAAGTATAAACATAAGACAATCATCGATGATAAAAAAAAGAACAGAAATGTTTTGCATGCTGAAGTCTACAAGAAATTATTTATCTATTCAAGTTAACAAGAAATAAATACGATAAAAAGTCATATATGGGATACGTGTGGTTAGCTGTAAAGCTGCCTATACCATCTAAACGTTGATATATCATATCGATGGTCAACGTCTTAACTATACAGTTCTACGTTGTCACACTTCTTATGTATTATATGTAGTTTTAAATTAGTCATTATTAATTTCTGTAATTATTATTCTTATGAAAGAAATCAGTTGAAACTAACTATCAGACTACTTCAGAGCTCATAATCTATTACCAGCGTCTATAAATTTGTCTTGGTGGTGACGACAATAGCTAAGAGAAAAAGCGTGTATGAATTTAATCATGAGTAAATACAATTTATCTTAAGAACTCTTTGTGTCAACAGACCCATAATAGACAGTTCTTCAAACATGCCAGTGTACATGACATATCAATGAGTTAATTCAGACAACTTTAAAATACAATCATAGAGGAACCAAATCACTACAGTGTTCTCATTGAAATCTATTATTGGTTTAAACAAAAAATGGAAAAAAGACAAACAAAATTACAAGAAACATATCTTTTTTGTTAGCATAATGAGACAGACACATCGTACAGCATGGAAACATGTTTGTTAGAGTAATTTTTCGACCAAGAAAAACAAACAAGAGCAAAAACAAAAGCAAGAAAAAAGAAGACAAATATCTGTGAGTATACATACATACGGACAAGTAAACAATTTCACTGAAAAGGAAAAACAAATTTAATTTTACATTAAAACGTATTTGATATTGTTCTTCTATTGGCTAGAATCACCGTTGAGTGTGTCCGTCATATGATCGTCTAAATCAAAATAAAACTGAGAACGAGCAATAAGATTATCTATGAGACTTACCATCAGCATGTTTTCGCCGTTCTTTTTTATCTTTGTGCGATGAGGATGACTTTCGTCCATTCGACGCTTCTTTTTCATGATGGTGGTGGTGATGATGTTGTCGATGGTGATGACTAGACGGTGGAGAATTATGTGTTTTTGATTTATGAGATGAATGATGGCCATCATCATGATAGTGTTTGACATTTGATACTACTGTTCTCGACTGAACGCTATAACAACAGAAAAGGTCAATATTGCCTTTGGTTCATAACTGAACAAAAATCAAATACACACCGCTCTTCTTTGGTTTCACTACTACGATGATGTTTCTTAGAACTATGATGGTGAGATGGTGAACGCGAATGAGTTTTAATATGTTTGTTTGTTGTTGATAAATGTTGATGTTTAAATTTTTCATCTCGTGATGGAGAATGTTCCTAAAACGTTTCATACGCATAAGACAGTTTATAATCCTTTTTTGTGCGGTTTCTCTTCTTTTTTGTTTAAGTTACTCTAGATCAAAACGCTTTTGTTTCTTATTTGATTTTCTATTTTTATCCTACTTTATTTACCGCTTTTTTTGAATATTTCCTTATCACCTTTTGGTTTCTATAAGTACAATATACAATTGTCATTTCTGCCAGGTTTTTTATATATTTTTCGTTTTCAATAAAGTTTATGCTAATACTTTAGGAAGTTAATGTTTTGAGTAAAATCTGAAGTACATACTCTTTTATGTCGTTCTTCTCTGGATGAACGATGTAAACGTTCTTTTTCTGTTGTGGATGGAGTAGCTGTTGCTGAACCATCACCACCTCGATCTTTCTCAAGCAACTGTGATCGTTTTTTTTGTAATTCTTCTAATGTACTACGTATTTTTGCATAGCCAACATGTTGTTTTCCACTAACATGTTCTTCAATTCGACACTGGGCATCTCCCACAATCAAGAATGAACCACATACGTTACATACTTCCATAGCTTTCATCTAAAGAGTAACATAGCAGTCCATAGCAGTAACTTCAAAATACAATTAAAGAAAGAAACTAAAAACTTACCATATCTGAATTATATTCTTGATAGGATAATTGCTGTAATAGACAAAATTAAATCAATTCAAGTTTTAGCTTAGACGAAGGAATACTTACTTCTCGTTCGGCTCTCAACTGTTCGCATTCTTCTAAAACTGCTTGTGCTTCATCAACTTTTCCCTTGCAACCTAGTTGTTCGGACTATAAAGAATTAATCATTGCACAATAACAGAACGTATATTTTCTTTGTGATTATTTAACAAACCTTTTGAACAAGTTCATTGATCCTATCATCTATCTGTCGTATACGACTAGCAGGATCAGTTGCCTAAATTGCATAAAATGTTGATGACTATATTACACGCTGTCTTTTACCACCAGCGTGCGATTCCAAAAGAAAAACTCTGCATGCTTTCAAATAATAATTCACCAATAGTGTGGCCGGTTCTCATTCTTACTATTATTCATATCTAACGTCAGAGCATATATATAAGCTTATTTTCATCTATTTTCCCTCAAAAAAACAACCAAAGAGCTTATTTTTTGAGTACATTTCTATTGCCGGTCTTTCATCTATATTTGTGTAGCAGAAAACTTCTTAGACAAAAACTCATCATATATTCAGTCTACAGCAACAAAACAGGAACTTTCACAATACAATATCTGTTTAAATCGAAAATCGAAGAATACTGAACGACATACTATTAATTTAAAGCGGAAAGGTAATCAAATCGTAATATGTACGTATGAAAGATATATCAGGGATTTTGAAAAGTACCTCGTATGCTTTCACTGTTCATGTATGGTAGAAGATGGTACAAACAAACATAATGTGTATGGCACAACGAAACCCATTGGTTGATAAATTAATCAATATTATAAAATGCTAAAAAAAGGCGAAACTGGATGTTTTTTGTTGTTCGTGTGTATGTGCAACCCGCTCATGGATATATCACAAATAAATTAAATTAGTTCAGCGTTTCTTTTTACATAAAACTAACGAGGAAAGAAAATAAAAATATATTTCATCTTATCATACCTTTCCATCGCTTGTTTCAGAATTATCATTTACAGATTCACCTTGTGTTAAACGTAATCGATCAATTCCACGTTTGATTCGTCTTTCAACATCAGCCAATAATGATTTTAAAAAGCGTTCTAAAGAATTTAAATCATTTTCGTTGTGAAAGTAAATCATTTTTTTAAAATATTTACCAAAATCTTCTTCATAACCAAGTTTTCCATATCTTGAACTTTTCAGATACCTAAAAAAAAGAACAGAAAATCGAGATAGAGAAACTGCAGTAAGAGGTAGTAAATCAAAATTTCTGCAACTGTGTTGAAGTTTGAACAATAATTACTTTCTAAATTCTATTTAATCCGAGTAATCCACTATCGTCGAAAAATCTTTGACAGAACCCTAGACGATAACTTTAGTGATGTACTTACGTTTTCTGTAAGCCTTCTTCGTGAACTTTATCACAGGGCCCTAGAATAATAAACATCGAAAAACAATTAAGTGCCAGAAAAAGTATCCAGGAGATCAAACATCTTCTGAATTTAGAAAGTCTTGGAAAATGAGATTTTATCTGAAGTTTTCTAAGTTCTAAGGACAAAAATCGTATCCTTTTACGACAAGTTTTGCGCAGATTTATATGTACGTAAAAGTGTTTCTGGGACGTTCATCATATATTATAAGGATTTTAATGATGTTCTTTATAAAATAAGAATACTTATTGCAGCGATACTTACCCAAATCAGCACGTGTGTTCACAAACAAATCGTGTGGACAAAATTCGACTAACAGATATTTACACACCTAAAAAAGCAAACACACAGAATAAGCACACAAAAACAAATTTCAAAAAATTTGCTATACCTCTGGATCATCAAAACGATATTGATGAACTGTTTCACCCGCTGTCGCATTTCGGGCTTTTCCCATTAGCTCATCGAGCAGTTTTTTTTGTTCGAGTAACGCCATTTCCCGACTGCAATAGCTTAGCAATCTAAAACATGGGTAAAACAATATTTCAATCTCTTAGAAAATTGATGTGATGAAGTGAAAATCGAGAGTCGACAACATGTCAATGATTAAGAAATTAACATAGACATAACGTTGAGAAAAAAATCTTGTCAGAGCAGCCCTGATTGCGGCTGAAATGTGGAGCTCCTCTAAACAGCGAGTACTGAATTATTATTAATTCTTGAGTGATATTCTTCGTTATAAATAAAGAATTGCGCGCTAGTGCAAATTACATAACATTGAAACTTGAACTAATTTTGCGAAAATTTGTCTTGCTCTATAGTTCCATGTCATCATTTTTTGAAAACAATTAATTAGCGATGTCATAACAACCATAAGCGAACAGTATACAAATGTATGAGAATAATGTGAACTTTAATATAAAAATTTCAAAATAAAGAAAGTCTCATTCCCATCTCTTAGTCACGAACGCCAAGATCATTCCCAGAGATTTAAAGTCATTGTTATGAATAGCCTAAGATAATTATCAAAGGAACAGGAGACCTTTAAGATCGTTACTAAGGACAATTTAAAGTGTCGCCAAGGGGAGGGGGTAAAAAATGATCAAAAACCGTAAAGGTTTGAGTTACACTCCTCCTTCATTTGAAAGCTATCGAGAGGGGTTCTACAAAAGGCAACAGAACATGATGGCAAATACACTTGTAGTAACTTAAGTGGAACATAGTAAACAAGTTCATGCTCTTCATAGCTTAAAGCTGACTTGAAATATACAGAGAAGAACTTTAGACTTTTAGTCTTGCACTGCACTGCAGAAAAGTAGATGAATTTCCTTTGTTTATCTTCCACTTTAGAATGTTAAAATTGCTGTTCTACTGGTGACCGGTTATCCACTCTTATAGGTAGCACTATCTTTAAAAGTAAATGACCGATCGCCCAGTAGAACAACAGTTTTAACATTCTAAAGTGGATGATACACAAAGGAAATTTATTTACTTTCTTCGATGTACAATGCAGGAAAGTGAACGAAATGGGAACTCACTTCTCCGATAGATGTTGAGTTTACAGAGTGAGAATTATGTGTCCGCAAAACACGGAAAAATGGCGATGAGTTATTCCGTGGACAAGCCAATGATTAAGAACCTAAAATGTTTGTGGGTGGTGCGAGATGGCACAGGGAGAAAAAACTAATAATAAATACAGCTTATAGAAAAAACAGAAAGTTCAGTAGTTTTTTTCTCCATGAAAATAGATGACGCTGGTGAGCGGAAGCACCAACACATATCTATCGAATAGAAATGGCAAGAAGATATGATTAAAGTTTGAAGGTTTTAGATTTCAATTAAGTTCTAACTTAATTCGCATGGAAGATGATATGTGAATAGACCATCAGGTACCTCGAAATTTCCAGAAAACTTTGCTTCTCCTAAATCCAGTAAAACTGTCGGGATCTTCGTACACAGAAGTAATCCCCAGATGCCTATATGCTGACTGAATTTTCCTGTCTCGAATTTACATCATGTCTATACCAAAAATAAAACAGAAACAGACAGTAAAATCCGTTATCGCAAAATCGACTTTTTATACGCTGAACAGATTGCGCGTTTAAAATGGCGCCGCAGTTCGCGCCAAAATGCGAAAAGTGATTTGAATAAAGAGATACTTTGCTGCCCGTAAAGTTATTAGATTTTCAGCAGGTATAGACTTTTAAAAATCACCGCTCTCTCGTATTAGATAGTATCAACTCCTGCTGATCATATCTGTCGAAGAGATTTTCAGAATTTGAAATGTATATAGATTTGTCTGCACATGATACGCTTCGCTGCTGTTAGAAAGGTTTAATAACATATGGTGTTAATTGAATCATGAGTAGACCAACAAGATTTTCAAAACAGCATTCGATCTCCTAAAAAGGTTTCACATATACGTTAGTGAAGATGAGGCTTTTAAGCCTCCTTTATGAGTTGTTTGAACCTGTTCCTCTTGAGTCTCAATCTCTTGCCAAAATAGAACATTCCTGATTTAACATTTGAGGGAAAATGTTAAACTTCATTATTTTATCTGTAGTTTCTTTTGGTTTACACATCATTGAGAATTGACACTAAATGATCGATTACTAAGAAACCTGGCTTAACACATAGAATTAAAGCGAAGACAATTAAGTGTCAATGGAAAAATCTCAAGCAACTACTGAAGTAACGACCGCTCATTGTGATGAAACTGATTAAGTTATATCTCCATTACTCAGTATATCTTTAAATCAATAAAATTCATTTTCTCAAACTCCTTTTCTTACTAAAATAACTAGCAGTTTTCAATCATTTTTATTTAAGTTATGCAATAAAACTTCGAATGTGTTGATCCACAATTTATCTATTAGATCTGTACTCTGGAGAGTTATTCAAGAAGCTTCGGTTGATATGTGCTAAAAAAATCTATTTACTCAGTCTCAAAAAACTAGTTTCTCTGATGTTTGCTGGAAAATATACATTTTCTGATTGTTTTTTAAATAACCGAGATAACTAGTAATGTAAACAGATAAAAAGAATAGTGAAGAAAACAAAAGAATTATAGTTTCACAAATATGCTACATGAGAAAACAAACAGACGAACATAGAATAAAAAATGAGACAGATGTAAATCGTTCGTGTACACGCTCTCAAAAATTTGCCGAAACTCACATATTTAATGGATGAAAAAAATAGTAGTAGTAATAATAGTAGTAGCACAAAAAAAATGAAAAAACGCACACATTCATACATACAAAAGAAAAGAAAAATGTGTGTTCAATAAAGTGAGTTGATAAAAAGAAGAGAAGAATCATTTTGGCAAGATTTTCTGTTTATTCATGTGTGCTTTTGATATAAAATGTTTTGATATTGTGATGTTTAAATTTTGATATTGAAACGTTTACGTTTTATCAGCTATACTCTTCCTTTCAATCTGTTAGAGAAAAAGCGTAGGCTTGTATATGTTTGTACAAAGATTAGGAAAACTTTCACCAACACAACAATTATTGTACGAAGGGTATGATAAAAGAGAAAAAACGTAATTAATTTTTTTCGGAAAAAAAAGTAACAAGTTCTGTTTTGTTTGAAATTTTGATTGATCTATTGATTGATTGCTTGACGAAATATAAGGTACATGACGAAAAAATAAAATATAAAATATATGTTGATTTCATTTTTTTTTATTTGTTCACGACGTTCTATAGTTAAAAATAACGGAATAAAAAAGAATTTTATTTCCTTTTTTTAATATTTACTTATAAATCGCTTTCGCCGTACAATGCCTAAAAGGAATGAATAATCTTTTTTTGTCATCTTAGGTCTATACTCAGATTTTTATACACTTACCGTTGCAAAAGTTTTATAATCGTAAGCACCAGGTACACTGTCATTTCCTTGATAAGCTTTCATTCTTTGCATACAATATTCGGCTTGAGTTGCTGGTAACTCACGTTTCAATAGTTCAGCAGTTATGTATGGCTAAAAAATGAAAAGAAATAGACTCAATGCAAGGTTCCCATTCGAATTCACAACTAAGATCTAAACCGTGAGTAAAAACGTTGAACAAAAGTTTTAATATCATTTTTTACACATTTCTTCCAGCAAAACTATAACATACCTTATCTCCCGCCAACGTTTTGAATGCAAGTACCAAATGATCGACATTATCTTCTTCTGAACATTCTCTTGTCATGAAATCCAAAAATGACTCAAATGTAACAAATCCAGTTTGTGATGGATCAACATTTAGCATAATTCTTTGAAAATCGACATCACCCTGTTTATCTTCACGTATATTATATCCACATGCAATTAAACATGAACGAAATTCTTTTGGATCTAGTCGCCGTTGTTTACTTCGATCAAAATGTGCAAATGCTCCTCGGAATTCATTCATTTGTTCTTCACTAATTCCCTTCTTTTCAATTGTATATATTTGATTTTTAATTTCATTTATTTGTCTTGTCAATTGTGTATTTAATTGTTCCCATGCCACACGTATTGTTTCCATTGTATAAGGAGTGTGACGATTTTCAAATATCATTTGTTCTTGAATTTCTTGATTATATTTTTCTAATTCTTCAATATCTGGACGGTACTGTGATACACCCGTTTCCATTGTTTCTAATTTCTTCTGATGTTGATCTAGAGTACCATGCACTTGAATTGTTAATTGTTGTAATAATTCATGTTGACGTTCGATCCAGGGACCAACAATATTTGCTTTTTGAGCAAACTGAATTCGTAAACGTTCATTTTGTTCTTGTTTAAGATATTCAACTTGCAAATCTTGATCACGTTGAGGAACGAGCGATTGAACTTCATTCCATTTCAATGTAATTTCCTAAAAAAACAAGTTAAACTATACTTAAGTAAAGTAAACAATTTCGATTCGTTTAAACTGTTCCAATTAAAATAATTACGTTCTCACTAAACTAACCCTGATTCATTGTTGTTAAATGTAATCAGAGTTGGGCAAGTCACGGGTTTTCCAAGTCACAAGTCAAGTCATTTAAAAAAATTTTCAGGTCAGGGAACTGTATCACAAAAAAGCTTAAGTCTGTCAAATTTGGATTTAAGTCAGACTTACGTCTTCGTTATATGCACTTACGTGCTAATTTTATACACTTAAGTCTGACTTAAAGCTAGACTTTGACTTAAGTTTTTTCGTGATACAACCCCCAGGTCAAGTCAGGTCATGAGTCATCAAAAATTTCCCAGGTCAAGTCAAGTCAAAAATGACTTGACTCGTTTTTGACTTGACTTGCCCAGCTCTGGATATAATATCTAATCGTCTAGATATTGAATTAGTAGAAACATTTAATACAATTTTATCAGATAAGACTGTTGATAGACGCATAATCCAATTATCTTTATGTACCTCTGCTTTTATATTACTGTATGGATTAGGTGATAATATAAGACCATTAGCTTCACATGTCTGTCGTGCCG